TATTAAACATAAAATGAGTCAAATTAAAATTGATTCTGTTGTTATTGATGAACTTTAATACATTGTGACACTTACTAGAAATAGATATATATATATATACTCGTTACTATCAGATATAATAGGTTAAATAATACAATATTCAACATTAATAAACGACTGGAAAATAATTCTTTAATGAATCAATGAAAAATTTAATATAAAAAAATATTTTATCCATTGTATATATATATTAAATTCATCATGTTCTATATATAATTAACATGCTAGATTTTATGACTCTAATAAATATGTATAGATTTTTTTATTTGATCATAATGGAACACACTTAATAAGTTTATGGATAACTAAAAATAATAATAGCAATCTTGATCTTTCGTTTATATGTATATGTTGCTTTATCTTCATTGAGTCCGTCGTAAAAAACTTCTATAGTATTATAACTGTGACGTCTGTTCCTAAGAAAACAATAAATATGATGTCAATGATTCTTGTGTTGTAAAAGCTAATAATGAATCATGGTAAAGTATGTGACAAGACAGTATTGTTTTATTTTCGATAAGAGAAAGAGTAGTTTACCGTTATTATTCAGACAACGCAAGTAAAGCCTTTCATGACCGAAATGTTCTTTTACGTAAAAGTACTTGCGTTCTGTCTTAGTAAGGATTAAAAACTATTTTTATGCTATCAAAGAAAATGACTGGAATTCTTTTTCTCGGAAATTTCTAGTGCTATAAAAAAACATATAGTTAGTAGCATCTTCATCATGCCATATTTGAAATTTTCAAGATTCTTTTGTTGTTTAGATTTTATGAAATGCATTAGAATGAGTACACAGATTTTTTTAATTTTGTATGTAATCATAAGCAAAAAAAACTCTATTTAAAAAAAAACTGATGATTCTTTTGATTACATCGATTGTGCAATTGTACTCATATTCAGTTGAAAACGTACTGTAAACAATATAAATATATCGAGTTATTCATTTCCAGTTGTGAATAGTACTTAGAATATAATAAGAAAAAAACATAAGACATTGGTGTTTTTTTATTAAATATTTTTTTTCTTCTTTCCAACAAAAAAACAAGATACGAGAAAGCAAGAGACCAAGATAAAAATCAAAGGACTAAAAACAAATGATCATCACAATAACCGACTAACTAACATTTTAAAACTTTCGTTTATATTTATATATACATATTTATATAGATTAATTATGCTGTTTGTATAATACTCCTTAGTATAGGTGGTACTTGACATCGATCGAGTTTTTCATATACATCATGTTGCGTATCACAAATAAGTTCTTGAATAAGTAGACATTTACTGATTAATGCTGAAAAAATATGAACAGCATGAACACATCCATAAGTTTTCTCGATAAGTAACCATAAATGTTCAGCATATTTATTTTGTATTTGAAATATTTGTTGATAACTATTAATTGATGATTCATTTGAATTCGTCGTGGTGGAAAGACCTTTAGAAAAAAGAAAGATTACAAGTGCAACTTGCATGATACGTTTATCAATTTGAACTATTGAATGTAGGGCACGTATTATCTTTGTACATCGGATATAATGATCAATACCATATGCTTCACGAATATGGGCGCCATACAGAGGTTTATCATTGGTATTTTCTTCATGATAAACATCATGGATTGGATCATATCTATAGAAGAAAAAAAAAAAAAATAGAAATACTAATTGAATATCGTGAGGTTGTTTTTTTGTTCCAAATAACATACTCAAGAGATGCATTAAAGAAAAATATATAACGTAGATTATTTTTGATTAGATTGACTTTATTGGTTTCGCTAAGAATGTCAAAATCATGTAAGCTTTTATAAAAACTTATAAGACGAAGTGCTGTAGTATTTTTTGCATTAATTATCTGATATAAACCAGTAATTTTCCGTGCTAATGGATATGACCACCCATAACCAGTAAGATCTAATTTGATTCTATCGTGATAAGCCATAACAACATTGTTTATAATATTACTACGTTGATTGTATGATTTAGATTTCAATGAAGATTTTTCATTCTTATTGAGTAAAACATTTTGTAATTCTGAATCATATTTTTTCATTGAATCTTTTGATAGCATATGATCATATGCATTAGACGCCCGAAGTCGTCTATTTTCTTCAATACGACGTTTCTTATTTACTTTTTCTTCTTCAGTTAAAATCCATTCTTTTCGCATACCTATTTGATCAAGAAAATTGAAGCTATTAATAAATTGAAACAAAAACAAAAAAAATTCGTACCAACAGCAAAACATTTTTGTAATCGACATGATTTACATCTACGTCTTGTTTCAAGTGTTATTTCACAATTGCCGTCGCGACGACATTTTAATCGATCCTATATTATCATAATTCATATTGTCATTTATTAAATGAAAATGGTTTACTGTATTAAAAAGTGCATTCCGTCGAAAAAATGCTTTACATGATTCACATGATATTGCATCGAAATTGTATCCATGCGCAACAGCACGACAAACTAGAATTGTAATTAATTTAATGTCATGAAGGAAGAGAAAAAACAACATTTGAAAATGTTCCTGAAATGCTCTAGTTTTTTTTCTTCTGCTATATTTTATCTATTAACACGATGAAACGAGAGAACAGAGCAAAAGAACTATTATTGTAAGGACATTTTTTTTTCTTTGTACACAATGACCTTGTGCGTTTATTTTAGGTCTACTCGAATTGCGAATTATATAATTTTAAATAATAGCAGATTAGTTCTGTCTTTTTTTCTTACAAAAGATTACTCAACGTTCTTAAGTGAAAAGTCCGAAAACAAAAGACAAAAAAAGACAATGAAAAAATTACCAACGCAAGAAAGATCCGATTTCTTTCGTATTTCACCATTTGCTTTCGTTGTTGAACACGGTGTTAAAGAATTAACGTCATAGATTTCTTGAGATTTTCGATATCGTCGTTTTCGATTAGGAAATACTGACGACGGAGACTATTTTAATGAAAAACCAATTACATAATATAAATCAAACAAAATTTTTTTTTTTTTCTCGAAAATGATTGAAAATATCTAGATAGTACTGCAAAATTTTTAAAAATATTTTATTCTCAACTAGGATTTTTCAATGTATATGACATACCTGACTCGGTAACTGAGATAAAATGGCCAATTTTAATGCGTCATTTTGAGAATATTTGTCAACATTCATTACAAATGGACGTAATGATTGTTTTGTATTCAATAATATGCTTTCATTATTATTATTATTGTTCAATTTGGTTTGATCCATCATTATTCTCGACGTTTTTATTTTCTTTGCTAATGGACCTATTTGAGTTTTTTCATCATAATTCAGTTCATCATAATCTAGTTTACGATGCATAATAAAAGTTTTTTCTTCTTCTTTGACGTAAACAAGTAAGAATGTCTTCTTTTCTAAAGGTAACAGAAAACGTTGTTCTTTTTTGAAGAATGAAAGAAAAATTTCTTTTTACGGGCCTTTGTCCTACATTTATTTAAGTTTAAAAGAAGAAAAAAAAATTGTGCATACTTTTAAGTGATGAATAATTATGAAAAATGCGTTGAAATAGGCAATGTGTGTATGCTCTATTGATTCTGTCTACGTTACATATATTTTTCGAATATTTTCTTATATTCTTTTCTTTATTTAACATAATCAAGGATTACTGCTATGTTTGTGTATACATGTATGCAATTATCGTACTCATAGAAAAGCAAGCCTCGTGTTTGATGTATGAAGCAAGCAATCATAAAAAAACCAAAAAATAAAAAAAAAAGAGACAATCAATAGTGCGACAACATTAAGACAAGCACATCAGAACGAGAAAAGAAACTGAAGAGCTGATGTACTAAGATAAATGCGACATTTGAGTTCATCTGATTATAGGAGAATATATTCAGATTTTTGTTTGTATGAAAAAGATGTTTTTAGCATGCTCGATTGATACAAGTAATTATAAGTGTGAGAATTCGATTTTCTTAACGCTATTCAAACATTAAAGAATACCACAATGACCCTATGAAGCTGCACCGAAGGTGCACTACTGTAGTAACGAAAAAAATTTCTGCAATGTTGTTAATAATATGTCAACAATTAATTTACACCAATAAAAAAATTACAAAACGATCTAAATATATACTCAAACATAAATATGATTACGTAATCTCTAATTTTTCAAAAACAAAAGTCTAAATAAAACGCTTTACAATACTATATCAGATGAAAATGTGGAATGTCTACAGACATATATATATATATATATATATATGTTATACCCGTAATAGTACAAAACCAATACTCATTTGGTTTCTCAAATGTGGCTACTCATAAAAAAGATTCATATCAGCTTTTGTTCTTTCTATTGACTATTAGTCGATGCGCATTATTATAAAGCCTCTCCCTATTTTTCTCAATATAATTTATCCAAAAATATCATTGTACTTGCTGTGTGTTATATGCCTAACAAGAAAAGAATGCCGTGACATTAGCTAAGTATTATACGAAAGAGAAGAAAAAGCTTCGCCCGATAAAAGGAAGAAACAAAAAAAAAAAATTACACATCCACTGAAACTCTTTTTCTTGTTGATGAATTGCAAATAAGAGCAAGAAGAAGACGATTGAAACCAAATAATATCAAGAGAATACTATTTTTTTTTCTAAAATAGATTCTCATAGAGAAAATATGGAAAATATTTAATTAGAAAAAAACCCTTTCCCACTTCTTCTGCTATATAAAAAATTTTCTCGCCATTCTGTTTCATAATTGAGGGCACAGGAACATTTTATATTCTTTCGAGTACATTTTTTTTTAATAAGAAATTTCGTACTTTTATTCTACTTATGAACTATATATCCGTACTTAAAAATAGGCAAAGATTCACAAAAGTCAACAACTATTTTGATGTCTATTCATATAAACAAATATTAGATATTTATTTTAACTTGAATACACATGTTTTATCTAGGCAAGATAAAGTATGTCATTTTTATAACGTTAAAAAAGAAACTAAAAAATACTTTTTGACAAAGTTCGTCAAAGGCAACAAGAAACTATGAAAGAATTCATATAAACAGAGCATAAAATATAGTTCTTAACACTTATAAATTAGATTTTTTCTTAGAAATAAAATATGTGAATTTGTTTTCTATTATTGAAATGTATATTACAATGCAGATTTTTAAATTTTAATTTACAAAATTAAAACATAAATTTAATGTTTCATTAAAGAATAGAATAAGGTTTTAATTTTATAGAATCTTTGCATTAGGGAAAAATCAAACGATAGTCATATATAATCCAAAAAAAATTTTTTTTTTAAATTCGACTATATATTTTTGAAATAATCTATTGAATAAATTAGAAAATAACTTAGAACTTATCATTTTATATAAAGTGATATGATTTTAAACAGATATTTTCAATCGATTCACATTTCATATAAATGTTCTTTTTACCAGTCTATCGAATAAAAGCACAGAATACATGAATCGATAGTTTTGTTTATTTATAATAAAGAATAATTCTAGTTTTGTCTTTGATCGATTAGATTTCGCCGATAATATGGCATTCAAAA